ATGTATGTATGTATGTATGTATGTATGTATGTATGTATGTATGTATGTATGTATGTATGTAATTAATGTAATGTAATGTAATGTAATGTAATGTAATGTAATGTAATGTAATGTATGTATGCATGTATGTATAATGTATATGTATGTAATGTATGTAATGTATGTGATGTATGTATGTATGTATGTATGTATGTATGTATGTATGTATGTATGTATGTATGTATGTATGTATGTATGTATGTATGTATGTATGTATGTATGTATGTATGTATGTATGTATGTATGTATGTATGTATGTATGTATGTATGTATGTAATGTATGTATGTATGTATGTATGTATGTATGTATGTATGTATGTATGTATGTATGTATGTATGTATGTATGTATGTATGTATGTATGTATGTATGTATGTATGTATGTATGTATGTATGTATGTATGTATGTATGTATGTATGTATGTATGTATGTATGTATGTATGTATGTATGTATGTATGTATGTATGTATGTATGTATGTATGTATGTATGTATGTATGTATGTATGTATGTATGTATGTATGTATGTATGTATGTATGTATGTATGTATGTATGTATGTATGTATGTATGTATGTATGTATGTATGTATGTATGTATGTATGTATGTATGTATGTATGTATGTATGTATGTATGTATGTATGTATGTAATGTGTATGTGTAATGTAATGTAATGTAATGTAATGTAATGTATGTATGTATGTATGTATGTATGTATGTATGTATGTATGTAATGTAATGTAATGTAATGTAATGTAATGTATGTATGTATGTATGTAATGTATGTATGTATGTATGTATGTATGTATGTATGTATGTAATGTATGTATGTATGTATGTATGTATGTATGTATGTATGTATGTATGTATGTATGTATGTATGTATGTATGTATGTATGTATGTATGTATGTATGTATGTATGTATGTATGTAATGTATGTATGTATGCATGTATGTATGTATGTATGTATGTATGTAATGCATGCATGTATGTATGTATGTATGTATGTATGTATGTATGTGTATGCATGTATGTATGTAAGTAAGTAAGTAAGTAAGTAAGTAAGTAAGTAAGTAAGTAAGTAAGTAAGTAAGTAAGTAAGTAAGTAATGTAATGCATGTAATGTATGTACGTATGTATGTATGTGTGCATGCATGCATGCATGCTGTATGTATGTATGTATGTATGTATGTATGTATGTATGTATGTATGTATGTATGTATGTATGTATGTAATGTATGTAATGTACTGCCTTGCACTTCCCCTTTGCTCCCCAGTATTTCCCGCAAAAAAAACACGGTTTTTCCAGCGTTTTCGCAAAGAGGACGTCCAAAAACATTGAGTTTTTCCAGATTTTCGGCAAAAGGATGCAGGAAGCCCAAGCCAGCAAAAAAGCCGGCAGGGGGAATCGAGCCTGGGACCCCTGTTTTGCGACACCGGCTCCCCGAAGACTACGTTTAGTGGAACGTCATCAAATTGCCGCGCGGTACGTGGGGGACCCCCCCCCCCCAAAAACCTACCCCCAAAAACCTACGTAATAGACGTCGGGCGGGGGGGGGTTAGGGGGGGGGTTATCCTCTATCCTCTAGTAAGTATCCGACACGCCGAGCAATGTCGGCGGATTTCCCCCTAACAAATCTAGGGATTGATCAGTTTATTCGTTTTATTATTTGTTCAGTATTTGCTCGTCTGTGCCGTTTTGCTCATGTGTTTGTGTTTTTGATGTTCAATAAGGCACCTAATGGCAGCCTTATTCATGATTGACTGTTTTCCGATGAGGTAATTTAATTTGCCTTATTTGCTTTTTTTTAAGTCCCAGAATATGAGAGCATACAATGTAAACGAGTGATTCATAACCTTATTTCAATATGTTTCACCAAAAACAACATTACAACAAATTACCAACTCTACAAACATACTTTTAAGCACATTATATTGAAATAAGGCGATTAAAAGCAATCATTGGAATGTTCCGGAAATTCTGCAGGCTAGGTGCTCGCACTTGCTGTGTGCGTAAGGTAGCCAACGAGGCTGAACCTGTTGTGTAGGAGTCGCAGTGTTTCACATCCATTTGCGTTGTAGCGGTTTTGCCTTACTATTGCAGCTGCTGCTCCCTGACAGATGTTGATGAGGATGTAGTGTAGATCTGGAGAGGTCTACTGCTTTGCTTGCTTGTGTAGGGTCGAGTATGTGTGCTCTGATGTCTGTGTCCTCAATCTGACTGCTTGTGCCACCAGGTCGAAGTCTCGGTCTATGAGGCCGAGGTATGTTTGTAGTTTGAACAGCCACTCTTCATACTGGGAGTAGTCACCAGTGAAGAAGGGTGGTGGCAGTTTGTATCGATGTAGTCTCTGGACGTCGTTGTCTTGTTCTGCTCCTGCTCCCGTAGTCGTGGCTCCTACTGTTTCTGCTGTTGGCCTGTTCTCTGCTCCTGTAGTTTGCTGTGCTGAGGCTGATGCTGCTTCTCCTGACATGTCGTAGTAGTTTGGCATGTGATTGCTGTTGCAGCGGTTGTAGTACTTACTGCTGAATACTGGAGCTCCCCTGCTCCGCTACCACGTTAAAATTGGTCGTTACTTTTACTACAAGTGCATGTGCTGTAGTGTTCACGCAAACATAAACCAATGGCCTGCAGCTGCCAACCTTTTTACTAATGCAGTCGTAGTAAGCCCAAGGCCTGCAGAAGTGTACATGCATGCAACACAAGTGCAAGAAGTGAAGCATGTAGCTTGACATCTCTCTCTCTCTCTTTCTCGCTCTGTTTCTCTCTCTCTCTCTCTCTCTCTCTCTCTCTCTCTCTCTCTCTCTCTCTCTCTCTGTGCGTTGCAGCGTCACGTCCCCCTTGACTTGCCTCGATGTCCGGGCACTGCCCCTTCATGACCCTGAACTGTCATCTCGCTACTGGAAAGCCCCTTGATTTCCCCTTCATGCCCTTTTCACATTTCCCATGATGTCCTGGGCATGTCCCCTCCATTCCTTTCAATTCCCCCTTCATGTCCCTGTCATTCTCTCGGTATGTCCACTTCATTTTCCATGCGTGTCCCGTTCTTTCGCTGCGAGTCAGGTTCCCTACATATGCTATTGTCCTTTGTTTCCCTTTCATTCCCTCTGCGCCCCCCTTGTTTTCATTTCTGTCCCTTTCATGTCCCTTGCAGTTCCCCTTTGTTTCCCTTTCATTTCCCGTTGCTTTCCTGTCATGTCGACTTCCTATTTCCTCCCCTCATTTTGCTTGCGCTTCCTTGCATTTCCCCTTTGCTCCCCAGCATTTCCCGCCCAAAAAAACTGGTTTTCCAGCGTTTTCGCCGGCAAAAGGAGAAAGAGCCGGCAGGGGGATTCGAGTGGGACCCCTGTTTGGCGACACCGGCTCCCCGAAGACTACGTTTAGTGGAACGTCATCAAATTACCGCGCGTTACGTGGGGGACCCCGCAAAGGGGGGGGTTCTCCTCTAATTTCCAAAGCAAGGAGGCCCATTGGAAACCTAACACCTCCGACGAGACCATCCACGTCCACCGCGCTGGCGGAAGGCTCCGAACTTCATCAGCACCGAAGCGCAAGGACGCAATCTGTCCGGGAGCAGGCTAAATCGACTGCTCCTCCCATTCTGCCCCCCCCCCTTCTCCCCCTGAGTGCAAATAGGACCCAAAGGGTCTCTGAATATATCCCCGCACAACTAGTAGGACAATGATGGAGTCGGCGCTCTTCTTCTTTGGCGCGCGAGCTACCAAATGCTCAGCGTATGATTGAAAGCCCTTGCAGGATGCGCAACAGAGCATCAATCATGCTATCTCATGGCAAGCATGTGCAAGACTTCCTACATTGCTGAAAGGGAAGGATGTACATGGACTACCGTAACAAATCAGACACAAAAATCCTTGCCCTGCAAACATGCTACGCGATCGAAAAGACTGCAGACTCTTTTAAACGGCAGCTCGATCGGTTCACGCAGGATTGAAACTGAGTTCATGGTGCTCAGCAGAACTGACGGCGATTGTGGTATGTGCCTTCTGCTTCGTGGAGTAATTATAACGTTTAGCAGCCTTGTATGTTCTACTTATATTGTGCTTATCGTTTGATGCCCTTTTGTTTTGAACATGTTGGTATGTTGCCGGGGTGTGCTTGTGGGTATGTCCTAAAGCTGTTTAAAGACTTAGAACTACACACTGATAAGAACAATGGAAGACCAAGGTGAAAGGCAGTCCTCCGAGTGTTGTAGAAGGTTAGGAGTTGAACATATGTTCATTTGTTGTTTGATACATGGGCTTTCATTTTTTGTCATTTGCTGCTCTAAAAAAAGATATGATAACTGCAACTCGTTCAAGTGTCCTTTACTATTTTTCAACGGGGCAGAGTGGAGGACGGGGGGAGAGGGGGGCAGAGTGGTAGGAGAGGGGAGGCGTCCGTAACAGCCCTTTGGTCTACACTTTCTCTCCTCACCATTTCCTCGGGTTCTTGAGATTTGACGAGTGACGAGGAAATTCGACAGAGAAGAAGAGAGAAATGGAGGAGTGGGGAATGTGAGGAACAGAAGAGATCTTTTCTACATAATACCGTCATATCACGTCCTCTCCTCATTCATTTGATCTTGGTTTTTGCAGTTGGACGGAGATGAGTCCGGATGGAAGGACAAGACACATGTACTCGAGACACACGTACTAGCGGGGTAGAGGAGCGGGATTCCGAAGGTAACGGCTAGTCCAGACAGGCGGTAAGAAGAACCCCCAAAGGAGGGGAACAGAGGGGCAGAGTGGGAGCAGAGTGGGGAGCAGAGTGAGATGGGAGCAGAGGGGAGAAGAGGAGGGCGCGCAAAGGGCAGCCCGCATTGCCTGGGAGCGTTGCCTGGTGAGGTGATTTGTTGTGTTTTTGCGGTGTTCTCCTTTTGTTTATTAATCGCAAGCGTGGTTCGCACGGACATCCACTCTCTGGCGTGCTTCACACGCTTCACTCATGTGGCAAAACGGAGGAGCGCTTAGCAGACTACCTGCGCGCCTCCACTTCTGGGGCTGATGCCGTGGTGAAGTCGCACATGCAGCACCTTGCCACAGCAAGCCAAGGGCTGGCGCAGAAAGTGAGCGAGCAGGCGGAGATCATTGAAGTCTTGAGAGGTCTTTTGCAGGATCACAAGGCTTTCATACGCAAGGAGCTTGGGTCAGAGCTTAGCATGCCCAAACAAGACTCTGACTCTGGAAGTGCAAGTTCTGACAGCAGCTGATGTGCATTTGGTGGCTGTGCCCTTCCAGCTGGTTTTATTGCGACTTGCAGCGCAGGGATGAGTCGAGGCGTTCTTCGACAACATTCGACGTGGCTCGGGCAGGCATGGGGAACGAGGGCTCACTACGGGCACGATGATGGTCCTACAATCCACAATGCCTACAATGTACCTTCAAATGTCGAAGGAGGAAAAGCCTTGGTGCCTGCAAGATTGTACTGAGATGTTTGAAACTGACTGCTTGGCATGACAATTGCAATGGCTGATGGATGGCCCACTGCTGGTGGCTCGTAGCTTTGGGGGTGCCCATCACCCCACCATTTGCGGTGTGCGGGGCCTACAGCCACAGCCGACAGCCAGTGCTGCCTCTGTTTCTTTAGCTGAAGTGCTTTGCCGTTTGCCTGCGAGCATCCCAGGGCAAGGATGGCCAACAATGGCACTGACAGTGGGGACGGCAGCTCAGTTGGCCTCGCAGGCAGCTCAGTCACTTACCACCCTGCAATTTCAGGGTGCACCTGGACGTCCGTCTGGTCCGCCCCCGCCACCTCCTCCAGGTATAGGGGCTGCGCCCTTACAGTCTTGGAGCAACTTTGGTCCCTTTGGCGCTGTAAACAAAAGACACATGTGGCACCTCGTGTCCCTTGTGGAACCTTTCGAATCAGGATGCCTCGAATGTTGCAGCGCGCTTATGCCAAACGGGAAGGGCGGAGTCTGTGTCATATCATGAGCCTGGGGTGCTGCAACAGTTCGCTGTCATCTTTCAGGATCTGCACCATGACATCGCCCGCGACATCGGCCAACAAGCCACGCGCCAAGCAGCAGTCGGCTCAAGATTTACACAGTAATTGTGTGATTGTATGTAAAAGGGAATGGAAGATTGACAATAGAGAACACTATTTACAGAAAGAAAGGGAATATATATATTTTTTAAAACACATACCGCGGTGAAAAAATACCACGACCAAATAGAGAAAAGGCAAGATCAAACGTTGATTGTGAATGCGGAGGAACATACACATTAAGCCGTAAAGCAGAGTAAATGAACAGCAAAACCAATTTAACATATTTAAGAGCATACAACGAAGACGAGTATAAAGAAAGCAAACGATACAAAGAAGATTCAACATATACGAAGAACAGAAAGAGAAACTGGATGAAGATAAAACAAAGGAATACAAACAGCAGTGGTGCGAGAACATAAGGAAGAGACGAGCAAGAAAGCAAAAAAAAACACATACCTGCGACTGTGGCGATGTTGTTTGTCTTGTGTAAGCAATCCGCCATCAAAACAACAATCTAATTAATAATATAGATAATGTAGCGTCATCACAAGAATGCGAAGGAGCTCGCAATCAGTTCCCGTGAGGTGTTCCTTTTCCATTTTTGGCTTCAGTTCCATTCCTCTGGGAATGCGAAGGTTGAAGTCATGATCCTCGATGCGAAGCATGCCTCCGAGACGAAGGTGGGGAAGGACTCCAGTGTCAGTGCTGTCGATGTGGATGCAGACTGGATGGATTTGATGTTTTGCAAGGAGATTCAAAAAATCAAGCAGAAGATGGAGGCATCCAGAAGTTCTGAAGCAAACTTGCACTTCAAATTGTCGAAGCGGATTCAAATTGTCGAAGCGGAAGGCCATGGCGGAGAAGATCAAGATGATCAATGATAAAGTCGTTTGGACCTGAGCATGCATCCGTTTCGTTCAATCGCTCAGATTTGAGTGCTTGAAAATCCGTTTGTCCATGCTTGTCCATGCTTGTCCATGTTTGTCCTTGAGGCAGCCGTTGAACCGGGCAGCAGCGGTTTGCTTAAGGCTCGCGGCTCGCTCCCGTGCCGCTTGGTGCTTTCGCACTCGCCTTGCGCCCTTGCGCCCACTTGCCAGTCCGACCTGCAGTCTAGCATTGCCAAGCTTGAGGAAGTTTGGGAGGGCGAGGCCCGAGAGTTGCGAAACCAAAACACGTACATTCGACGTAGATGTCATGTCTTGTTTGGATTTCCAGGTTGGCACGCTGAAGCACGAGTTGTGGCAGACGATCCAGGATTGGAGCCCGAGTTGACGCAAAGCTTTGCACCCGCAAGCACCAAGGCTCACAATCATAATGCGGACCTCTTGAAGCACCACAAGGCAAGAACTGAGGGTTCCCAGTGTTCATTGTTCATTTCTGATCTATGCGCGAAGGACGCCATAGATCAAGTGCAAAACAGAATGACCGATCTCGCGCGTGTCTCAGCTCGACTCGATTCGATTCGACTGAAGCGATCGGAGCTGAGGCTCCGAACCCCGAGCTCGACCAGGCCAATTTCGATGGGCCAATTGGGCCAATTCCTTCCAATTCCTTGCAATTCCTTCGCTTCAGGTTCACTTGCAGCTGCTTCAAGTGGACAAGGCGCCTTGCCGTTCTTTGGCCATTCTTTGGCCATTGCTCAAGATCCAGACAGGTTCTACAGCGAGAGATGGCGAAGGCGGTGTGAGAATGGGCCAGAATGGCTGAAAGCCGAGACACAGACCCACACACAGCATGTTTCTCATTGGGTGATGTAGAGAGTGATGCAGGGAGCGATCAGACGCTTGATTGACCGTGAGATGCAGGAAGCACAGATGGATCAACTCATGGCCAGACTGACGGTGGTGCAGCAACAGCTGATGACCATTTGGGTGGCTGCCTCAAAAAAGACGACATAATTTGAGCGCGGCTCTTCACGCCGCAGCCGCAAGAGCCGCTCAGGGAGCACCGTCTGGGTCGGCCTTCGGACTCCAGGCGGGCCGCGCTCGAGTGACCAGGCGACCAGGCGACTGGGCGACCGGACCGGGCGACCGGGCGTGTCGGACGGCAGGGGGGAGCACTGCAGAGCGCCCTGGCCGCCCAAGCCGTGCTCTCAAAGCACAGAGCACAGAGCAAACTTTGCAAAGGACGTGGCAAATGCAAAGGACTGACGTGGCATTGGCTGAGGCAAGAGTTACACCTGTTGCCAGCACCAAGAAGGCACAGAAAAAGGCGGATGCCCTTGGGCCCGACTTCAGATTGCTATTGGCAGTTGGCGTCGCAATGTTTTGCCATTGGCTGAGCCCTGGCACAGGTTCCAAAGGCGACGAAGGGTGCGAAAGCATCTGCGGCCTCATTGGCTGCTGCAGCTTCTTTGCGTGCAGAGGTGCCAAGTGCCAAGATGTGCCAAGATGTGCCAAGATGTGCCAAGATGTGCCAAGATGTGCCAAGATGTGCCAAGTGCACGACTGCCCGGGCATGGAAAACAAGCTTGGGACTCGGGAGGCGCCGGAGTTTGTCCCGACGTCTGGATGGGACTCCTAGGCGCGAGACCGGCCAAACGCACGCGGAATGTCGGTTCCTGCCCGTGCGCAGGCTGTGGGTGCCACACCGCATGGATCGGATAGAACTCTGACGCAAAGGCCGAGTCGCAGGGGCATGGGTTGCCTTCCTTTGGGCTGATCCGAGACCATGTTGGTGACAAAATCTGAGAACAGCTTGAGGTAGTGCGACTGAGGGATATCTTCATGCCATTTTGCTTACCCTCTGCTCCATTCGGGAGCAACCAACGGATGAAGCGCTAGCGCGCGATGCGCTTTGCGATGCGCTTTGCGATGCGCTATGCGATGCGCTATGCGCTCTATTTATTGAATTGAGTTGCAGGGAGACGGACTGTACACTTTTTTAGGTGTACACAAGGCCAATGTGCTGACTGCAGTAACTTTGTGTTGGACGACCTGGCATCGCTGGGTACTCACATCTTGGCACATCTCACTCACATCTTGGCACATCTTGGCACTTTGCTTCCTTTTCGACAACTTCGTATTTTGCTCATTGTTTCCTTCTGTTTCCTTTTGTTTCCTTTTTGTTTCCTTTTTTCTCTTTGCTTCGTATTTCGTATTCTCGTTGTCTTCTCTCAGTCTGATTCGTCAGTGAGCACTGCGACGGGACTCGCAGTCCGATGGCCTTGTTTTTCAGGGAGCCCAAGCACTGCGCTTACGCTCCCACCGATTCAAAGAAAGACTTCAGTTGAAAGAAGGACTTGTGCAAGAGACTTCTGAAAGTTCAGTTGAAGCTGTTGTTACCATCTTCGGTTTTGTCCGTGGAACCTCAACCGAGAGGTCCACGCGCACAGAAGCTCGGAGTGGGCTGAAAAGTCAATGCTCCGCGTCGTTCATTGAACAGGCCACACTTTCATTAGTCATCGACACGGTCCGCTTGTGGCGAATCGAAGTTATTTGAAGTTCTTGACAGTTGAAAAGTGAAGCTCATGCCGTTCGGACTGGCTCAATGCCTCTGTCAGCCCGATCATGAGTTAGCTGTTTGCCCGGAGGTGAGGCATGGGTAAAACAAGATCGCAAGATCCTCAACTTTCTGCAACATTTTGCAACTTTCTGAGTTTGGCCTGCGACCCTTTGATCGTTTGTGCGGCCATTGCTCTGCCCAGGTCTATTCGATCGAAGATAAGAAAGCGCCTTCGGACGGTGAAGAGGCGATTTTGTTTGTGGCATAGCTGCTCCAGATTGACCCAGGAGAAGCATGACAAGCTTGCGTCACCCTTAGCATTGAACTTGCACAAGCTTTACGCATGGTGCTGATTGTGAGTACTGTCATGTTCAGTCAAGTTACAAGGTGCAAGTAGCTCAAGGTCGCAGCACTATTCTGTTGAGGCCAGGTTTCATCAGTGATGTTTGTCAGTGCAGCTCTCTTCTCGCTATTTGCAGGATTGTGTTCAGAAGCCATGTTGCACTCAGGCCAAGAAATGCGTTCAAATAGCCAGCAATTTCAGGCCAGCGTGAGCTCTTCTGCGCTCCTGGGCCATCAAGCGGGCGGCACAGTATTCCGCACAAATCGACGAAAATACAACGACGAACAGGCTTGAACAGAGCTGTGACGCCTTGACGCCTTGCCCCTTTTTTGGAAAGCGAAGTCCTGCTCAGAAAGCGATGCTGAGCAAGATCATAAAAGAGAGCCACTCCAAGATGGAGGCCATGATTTGCTCCCAATCTGAGCTGCATGTGTCATGCAGATTGTTGTTATTGTGCACAGTGTTTGCTGTCCAGAAAGTTCAGTTGCACAGCGTTCTCCAATTTGCTTGACTTCTAGTTGGTGTGCAAACAGTTTCTTCCTGTTCTCCATTTCTGAAGATGTGAACCTGAGCGATCCGAGCCATCCCGTTCCTGAAGGTTCTGGCAGGCACGAAAGTCTCTGAGGCCGGCTCAGAAAGGGAAAGGGTTGTGCCAAATGAATGGCTCACCCAGGCGCTTACGTCCCATCTGTCATTGAGTTGGGGCCTGACTTGGCACTACCCGGCCCTGCCTGGCCGCATTCGAGACGTGAACCTAGCCCAGAGGCTGCTGTGTTGGCGCGTGATGAGGCGGGATGGTGAGGCCCAAGACATGGACGATGCTCCGAAGACTGGCGCCATAGGCGAAACATGGCGAAACCGCAATCCAAAAAGGCTCGACAAAGGCTTGACAGCGCGGATTTCTAACCACTTTCAGGGCCGTTCAGGGCGCCGACCAGGGTGCCGACACCTCGCGACCCGTGAAGGGAGAGTACACTTCATTGATTCATGGGATTTCATGGGCACTTGACTTGCGGTAGACGTCAAAGGCGTTTTTGTTTCTTCGTATGGCATCAGGCATCAGACATCAGGCCGCTTGTTGGAAGTTGGCATGTGCTGCAGGATGCAACATAAGGCAGTAATTCATGGGCTGCTCTTGAAACATAAGGAATGATTCGATAATTATCTCTGTGGCCGTGACTGAACAAGACCGCAGGTTCCACATGGTGTAGTGTGACAGTGGCGTGCGCGGCGTGTTCCGCAATCTCAGAAGTGCAGAGCAAGAACAACAAAATGTACCGTAAGTCGAGCAACTTGTTTCACCCAAACAGACTCAGTAGCTTGCGGGCGCTGAGCAATCCTGGCGAATACGAGCACGCCCAGCGAAGCAAAATTGACACAAAATGATAGCCCTTCACGTTTTGTCCTGACCTTTTGTTTGGCATGCTATTGCTGCAGCAACAGCCATCTTTTTGACAAGGCTGCTTTGTTGCGCCGCCGGGAATCATGTCATGAAATCCAAAGTCGGCCGCTGCCATGGATGGTTTGTTTTATCCATGACTGCCACCAACCCACCGGCTCAGCGCTGCGTGCACACCTGCCACGCTGAGCGATCTCGCCCAAACGCAGCTCGCCAAATGATGAGCGAGTCCCCTCAAGCGCGCGTCCAAACCTCCAATTGATAAGAGCTGCCGCGCGCACACATAGCTCGTGTGACTGTATTCACGCATGAAATAAGGGCACTAAGCACCTCGCTTGCAGCGCACTGCACACTTGCGAAGTGCTAAGCGCTCTCGCCTCGCAGCTGGTCTTATATCCTCTCCCGCCAAATGATAAGCCCGCCCAAGCGCAGCTCGTGTTGCATCCACTTGTGCCAAATGAGTGCACCCGCCGCGCAGATAAGCTCGCCCGATGGTGGTGCTAGTGATGCTGTGAATCAAGGGTGCTCAACGCAGAGGACACATGTCGCAGGCCACTTGTGGCGTTGGAGCTGTGGGAATCACGATGTCGGCTCAAGAACGAGTGATTTTCATTCATGTATTCTAGAGCATAGCCTCATTTTGTCAACTTGGTTCCTAGGTTCACACAGAGTACCTTGGTTCAGAGACCAACAGGGATAGGATAGACTTCATAGAGCATACGCCCGCCATGGTCGCAAGTCAGTGACTTTGCGGCACAGCCTGAGATTGTGATGCATAATCATGTCAAGGGCCTTCCACCGGAGAGCCCGACGCCACTCGAACAGTCATTCATGCAGACCACCTTCAAGTGGCTGAAGGGTGGGAATTCAGTGTATCAATATGTCCACTGGCCTACACGAATCAGCGACAACTTGTTTGTGTGGTATTCACCTAGCCAGGACGCGATGGAAGTTGCTTTTGCATTCACTTGTGCTTGCAAATGAGTTTGAGCCTCGCTCAGCTTTCTTGAAGCACTTGGCCAGGACCGATTGATTTCCAAGCGAGGTGCATCATGGGCGGTCCACTGCAGGAGTCGCGTGAGAATGTTGAACCAGAAATTCAACCAGTGCAATTCAAATGAAGGTTGGAAGGGGCGTTGGTTTGCATGTGCTTACTTACATACTTACATGCTGACTTGTTGAATTTCAACCCGAATGCGACAAACAACAGTTTCCATGCTCTAGGCAATCGTTGCTTTGTGCTGTTGTGGAAGGATCTCGCGTTGGGGAACATGGGATGGGCATGGTTGGGCAGTGGGCCGATCGGGTTGACGGGTTGGGGATGCTTTTATTGGAGCTGGACGCATGGCTTGGGGGAGTCGGCACATGCCAAAGTTCGCTCGGCCTCCAATTTCGCTCGCTCCGATTAGGAGGCAGCAAAGGGACTTGGCGGTGTCCACGGATCGCGTCACGTGGGTGCTGGAGGAGACGCCTGAGGACAAGAAAGAGCGCAAGGACAAGGAGTCACAGTTGTTGCTGCAAGAGCTGAACAATCTGGGCGTGCACGGGAAGAAGCTGAGCCCGGATGAAGGTCGCGCCCTGGCGATCGAATTGAAGAAGCGAGGAATACGGCCTTCGCAGGACCAAATGCAAGAAGTTGCACCGCTTCAAGCCTTAGCGTGCAAAAGGGTGACGGCACAAGATCACTGGCCGCAGAACTTCAGATTGATGGCACTGCACCTGGCCGGCTTCCAGGATCCACACGTTGATGGTTTGTATACAAACTGCGACCCTCAAGGAGTCAGTCGTCGGGCCTTCGTGCATGGATCCTCTGTCCTGCACGCTCGCAACGCCGGGTGGGGTGTGGTGAGGGACGTTCCGCTGAACCAAGCCCACAAAAGCCCAATCATATTCGGGACAGCCAACTTAGAGATCTGGCACCGTCCTGACAGGGACAAAACACGGCTGTGGGGAATCAGATGCCACGCCATCTACACCAACAGCCCGCCTGAGCTTGCAAGTGCCAAGCCAGAGCCGCGCTCTGCAAAGCCTGAGGAACGCGCTGAAAAGGCACCGCAACCCACCAAGGGGCAGTCAGCAAAGCCAGAGCAGTCAGCAAAGCCAGAGCAGTCAGCCAAGGCAGCGCCGTCGCAATCGACCGGTCCAGAGAAGACGTACAAGAGATTCAAGCCTGCGAAGGCAGCCAAGACAGCAATCAGCCACTGCGAGGCACTGAAGTACTACCATGAGTTCCACTGCATCTCGAAGCCGTGCATGCAAGTTCGCCAATCGCACCCGTGCGATCTCAAGGTGGTGTTGGAGATCTTTGCAAAGCGTGTGTATGCACAACCGGCAGGAATGTGCACTGATCTTTTCCGTGCACGACCTGGTGACATCCTGCTCGACCTGGGGGCCAACATTGGTGCCACTGCTTTTTGGTACTTTACCGAAGGTGTGGCGAGAGCTGACTGCATTGAACCTTCGAAGAAGGGCAGTGCAAAGAAGCTGCCTTTGCCAGAACCAATTGCTGCAGAGACGCGGGCCTTTGACCTACTGGAGTCGAACCTACACCCCTGGGAATCGAAATCCAGGCGGTGCAATGCCGCAGTCGTGCATGAATTTGCTGCTGACCAGTCTGGAAGCGTGAGCGTACAGTTTGATGACGTTCAACTGGCTCCGGCAGCAGGCTACATTGTGGCCAGCCTGCACAACAACCAGCGCAACCAGTATGTTTTGCGTGTCATCAATGGATTGTTGACAGTAGTCCTTTCATCCAACACGAGCAAGCTCATCCTGCCGTTCGGGTCAAAGTGGCAAAGCGGTCGTGAATTTTCAGACATCGACACAGCCCTGCAAGCCTTGCGAGTGCATCAGGGCCCATTGATCTTTTTCTTTGGGCCAGAAGCACTGCATCTCAGGGCCAACTGCAACGGTCCGATTGATACCGTGCTACACCAACGAGGCCCCGCGCTTTGGCAGGACGCGCAAGGCGTGTCACTTGCGGGCGGCGGTTCTGACGGTACCGCTGAGTGGCGCCTGACCGTGCCATCCGGCACCTGGAGAAGTCCCCGGACCACATCCACGCCCCCGGCCAAGGCAATCTGGTCCGAGGCGAAAAGCAAGGAGCCGGGGCGCGTCGTTGCCGAGCCCTGCGTTCTTTTTGATGATCTGGACGGGCAGAGTGTCGGAGGAGCCTGGCGCAGCAGCACGGCCGCCATGAACACCTACAAGAACCAAGAGGCGGACCGCAAGGACCAGTACCCCGTCCCGGCCCTGGCCTTGAGCCAGCTGCTTCGCGATCACACGATTGTCAAGATGGACATCGAGGGGTCGGAGCTCAGCATCCTTGCCCAACGACAGGACTGGAAGCAAGCCAGGGTCCTTATTTTCGAATACTCGGCAGCGAGGTGCAGGAAGTTCGGGCTTGGATGGCGCCCATTTGCTGGTGCACTGCGAAAGCTCCACAAAGGTGGCTTTACCGATATCGCATTTCCAAGCAGCTGCTGGAGGCATGATTTCTGGCAGTGGAATAAGACAGTCAAGAGCAGCATTGATCCGAAGACTGGCAAAGGGCGAACGCATCATATCGGATCCCATATCGACTTCAATGTCTTTTGCTATGCTGCGGGGCGCGACCCAGACCAGGGATGGCTCGGAGCATGCTGCAGCCAAAAGCAGAGGAGTCAGCTTAGGAGATACCGGACATTCACCCGACACATGAATCTGGTGGAATTCAATCTTGCTTACTCTTTGCAGATGGATAAAGCAAAGAGAGCACATCGCAAGAGAAGCATGAGTGCAGATGATGAGACGAAGAAGCAAAGGAAGGAGGAGAAGGGCAAGAAAGATAGAAAGAAGAAGGATAGGAAGGAGAAGAAGCATAAGAAGGAGAAGAAGGATGGAAAGGAGAAGGATGGAAAGGAGAAGGATGGAAAGGAGAAGGAGAGAAAGGAGAAGGAGAAGAAGGAGAAGAAGGAGAAGAAGGAGAAGAAAGAGAAGGAGAAGAAAGAGAAGGAGAAGAAAGAGAAGACAGCAATGGAAGATGTGACACAGGCGAAGGACTGGAAGAAGAAGAAGCCGGAGCAAACCAAATGAGTGCGATGCCGACAAGGCGCACCTTGTTAGCTTGTCGTGTTTAGGGGCTCTTTGGCTTCAACGTTTAGGGGCTGCCGCCCAGTGCCGCCGACCGATTGGGAGATTGACAAGCAAACGTACAGGAGGCAGGAACCTGTGTACTTCAGGATTCAAGAATCTTGGCTTTGTTCTTTTGAGAGATAATTTCAACCGTTCGAACTCCGGCAACTTACCAGGACCTTTTTTTCGGTGGGGTTTGCGCTGTTTATACGTATCCGCAATTACTGTTTTTCGCTACAACCCATGAAGTGCAAATTATGAGCAATGGTTCTTCATTTTTCCGGCATGTTTGGAGTCCCAAACCTTTGATCGGTTGTTCAACTCTTCAGGTCAGAAGCTGTACCTTTCCGAAGCCAGAAACAATGGAGTTGCTTTGCTTTGCGTCCGCAGACTGAACGGTGGTCACGAAAGACAAATTCATGAATTCGGTTAACTCCGACAAATCACAACTTGATACAGCTGCGTTTCTTTCCACCTCCACGCCAATGATGCATGGACAAGCTCAAAAGACATGGCCATGCGGATTCGAAAGTTGTTGCCAGACAAAGCAAATAGGCGAAGGGCCTATATTTGACCCGGTCGCTGGTCTTCCTACCCAAAACACTGGATGTACCCCTCAAGAGGTCACTACTGACATTGCTTTTCTACAAGTTACACTTTCTTGTACTTGTAACGATGGCACGGAGTGAAAGTGAGCAGATGCAATGGATAGAGGAGCTCATTTGAGGCTTCCTCAATTTACCCTTGAAATATCATCCCATCTGCAAGTTGCATAGAACTGGTCAGCAAACCTGTACCGCTAAAGTACACGTGCATCTGTTCCTTGTCACTCTTCGTTCTCACTACAAACACAAGAAAGCGCAAGTGCTTGTCAGAATAGGAAACAGATGCAATGGATGCAGGACTGCAATGCGTGGTTTTGACACAGAGCCACGATAGAGTCAAAAGTAGACTTCCTCAACCTACGCTGCTTCTTCCCTGAAGATTCTTCATGGACCACGAACTTCCTAATGCTGACCTTAGCCTCCTCATTCTTCTCGGAAGACGTCTTCACTGCCTGCAGCTCTGAAAGATTCTTCCATCCCCCCCCAACTTGAAATCCTCGAGAATCTTTGTGAGCGGTTTGATGGTCGTGCAAGTTCTCACTGTCACCCGCGTTTGATCTGCTCGCCGTGGATGGTGACTTCGACCTGTCCTTCAAGGCTTGGCTCTTCACACTCTTCTTTCTCCGCTCGTGCAAGATGGTGATCTCCATCATTTCTTCTTACTCCCCTCATGGTTCCATTGGTTAGCAAAGTGTTTCAGATATAAATTCACAACATACCCTAAGTAAGTGCAAAGTTGCAAACAAAATCTCGATCATTCCCCTGTAGTGTACGGTCCTTTGTTCGGCGTGCGGGCGTGTAGGGGCATGGAGACTTTAGACATATTGCAGCCGTAGAGTAGGCGGTGTATATGCGTCGCTGCTCATTGATTTGGCACATGACTTGGCCAAACAACACAGCGATTGTTTCTATTGATTTTGCTTTTGGGGGCAGCCCAGGAAAGCGGGAATAACAAGCCACAGCATCGGCGTGCCACATGCGCCCAAAACACGTGCCACATCCACGAGGCCACACCTCCCAGAAAGGGCGGGTGAGGGAACCTTGGGGCCGGGGAAAGGGGGGGTTTGCAGAGACCTGGGCAGAACAAAGTCGTATTCTGTTCAGAATCTGGGGTTGAGAAGCTAAACACTTGGATTCAGAAACCCGGCTTCAGAAACTACCAGAGTCGGATTGAGAAACTGAACACAGTCGGATTCAGAAATTCCTCGGAGTCGGATTCAGAAGCTCCCAGAGTCGGATTCAGAAACTCCTAGCTCGGATTCAGCATAGAAAGAACATCCGCTCACGTGCGCCCTAATGGTAAGAACACCCGATCACTTGCGCCCGCTTAGCACTGCACACACACGCCTGCAAGCGCACCCCCGCACGTCTGCCAAACGGCAAGATCACCCACTCGCGTGAGCCCGCTCCTGCCGGTAAGAACACCCGATCGTGTGCGCCCGCGCAGCACTGCACTAAGAAAACCCGCTCACGCGCGCCCGCTCAGCAAATGGCAAGAACGCCCGCCTGCTCAGCGCTGCGCACATGCCTGCCAAATGATAAGAACACCCGCTCACGTCCACCTTCTCCATGCCTGCCAAACGGTAAGAACACCCGCTCGCGCGCAACCGCTCAGCGTTGCGGAGAAAATGATCGGTTCAACGCCGAGAAGGGCTTCTCTCGTGACCATGGTGTGGCGAGACGATAAGTACAAAGCAGCAAGCAGATGAACAGACAGCGAGTCAGTGCCTCTGGTGGCTCAGGCAACCCACATTGTTTGCAGCGTTCTCTTGGCCACCTTAGAAGTTGGGTTGCGCCAGCCGGTTTCATCTCAGGTTTTGCAAGATACGAATGCACGACGTTTGTGGCCATGGGTGTTTGGCAAGGGGGGACACGTGCTAGCGGGCGCGTAAGTTTCAAAGTGTTCGCTTACACCTTTGCAGACTTAGTTTCCGTGGAAACCCCAAGGCTCGAGTGATGGTTTGGCGGCTGCGCAGAGCCAGCGTGCCACCCGTGTGAACAAGCTTCAGGCTATCACATTCCCTCAGTTTCCCATCACTGGTTTCCGAATACCACGCATGAGTTTTCGAATACTGTTTCCGAACCCAGCTTTGCCAGTTTCCGAATCTTTGTTCCTAGTTTCCGAATACCGGTTTCCGAATACCACGTTTCATAGTTTCCGAATCCTAGTCTCCGAATACAACGTTTTAGTTTCCGAATATCGCGGTTTAGTTTTTGCGAATAAAACCTTGAGCGACCTGCGCATTTATCCAAGAGATAGAGTTTAAGCAGCCTCCAACGCAAAGCAACCCTTGAAGTGGCGAGGTTGCTGCTTGCTATTTTCCAAATCTGCGGAATCATCAATTGTTTGGGCCCCCGAAGCATTTCCTCATGTGGCGCAATGCAATTGGTTAACTTTAAATGATCCATGGAACAGGTCGATCCAGATGTCCACGTTGTAAACCACCCAACGCATCCGCCCAAATGCTCTTGAAATGGCAGAGCAACAGCAGTTGTATTTCTTGACCCTCGCATTGATTTGTCAATCTGGCAGTTCCCCTTGGCTGCGTGCCCTGACTGCTTGTTTGTGTTGGTTTTCTGCATACGGAATTCAAGACTAACACTTAGCTGCAGGCCAGTCTGAAAAGTGCTTTGCGATGTGAAGTAGTTACAAGCGCTGCACACAGCTGGGTTGAGTGCTGCGAGCTTCAGTCACAAAGCTTTGCAAAGTTTGCAAACACACTGGCTTGCATATTTGCCCACATCACCTTAACCTACCTGTTGCCTTTTCCTCACATCTGCAAGCAGGACGACCACCTCCAGCAAAACAAGCACTGGTGCACCTGTTGACATGCTAACCTTTTCCAGTACGTCTTCCATTGAAGAAGCATTGCAATCTCACATTTGTGGCGCCAGTCTAACCGGCTTTGTTAAGATACTGTTGCGCGCGGTGGTGACGCTTGCTGTCAATGCATGCTGCTGGCAGACGCTACCCCGTGTGGTCAGTCCTTTGATCTTGCCGAGGTGCTTTACCTCGAGACATCTAAGCGACAGCACTAGACCATGATTTTGCGATAATTGGTACGGGTGTGTTTTGTTCCAAGAAGCACAGGATGAGGCGCGGTAGAAGATGTACAACCTGCGACAGCTAACCGATTGGGAGGTGTTTGTGCTGTTGCAGCCGCCGCTACTGCAGTGGTTCTGGTGATGTTGGTAGTTTCAGTATGGTGGCTTTAGCTGGGGTTGTGATATGCAGATGTTCGTGCGTGTGTGTGTGTGTGTGTGTGTGTGTGTGTGTGTGTGTGTTATTAGGATTGTTCCAATCCTGGCTAGTATGCAAGTGGCGTATTATGGTATTCCCAGGTGCTGTTAGTGTGCTTTGCATTGCATGTCTGGCAAATTGCACTTCGAATACTTCGAACCTAGTAGCAGTGGAAGATTTGAAGGAACTGGCCTACCTGGCAGGTGCTTGGGATCATCAACCTGGATGCCAACAAGAGCTCCAAGATTTACAGTTGGTTGATCTCGATGTTTGCCGCAGGACGGCCTTCAATTTCAAGAAATTTTCGAGGCCGTGGCTGAAAGACAAAAGGAAACGCCGCGATTCTTGGGCTGCTGAGTTTGCATTTCAGAGCAGTTCACAGATGGTCAATTGCGCCCACATGTTCAGTGAATGAATTTGTAGTGATGCCTCACGTAGTTGATCGCACTCAGCCTCAGAATAACCCGTGGTTTGTTTTTGGGGGCTTGGTTTAGACATCGTTGGGGATGTCTTTGGGCACGTTGCGGACGTCCTAAGGGAAGAAGAGTCCATGGATGCTTCCTCGCGTGTGGATTCCCGAAACTTTCGACCAGCTTTAGAGAGTCATTGGTTGCTTGTGTCTTGCCCATCACGTACTATGTTTGTTCAATGCTGTCTGGCTCAAGTCAGCGTAACGAAGCGCATGCTAATACTAGATGTAGCATGAATCAATGGTGGATGCTCGGTTTGCAAGGCATCCGCGCATGCAGGTGACATGAGCACTGTCCTTACGTTCCACTACGATTGTGCCTGTGCTGGCGCGCTCAGGATTCTTGGGCTGCTGTGCAAGGTTTGTGCGCTGAAGCTTCATGGGCCGAATTGCCACATCTTCACCATGTGGCTGCTCTGTTGCAATGGCCGAATGCAACGCATGCGCTTGGGAACGCGTGAGCCTTGAGCTGCACCATTTTATCAAGCATCTCAGGAACTATTCACGCCCCGTCCCTGAAACTCGAGTATGAATGAAGCGCTTGCGCATTGCACTCGTGTGTCTGATTCTGGAGCTTGCTGGCGATTGCCATGTGCAAGGAATACATCCACCTGAACCTTCAAAGTTGGGAACGCGCATCAGGGGGACGTTGTGGAAAGCCAATCTTGGTAAATCGGACCAACGTGAGACAGTGGTCCTTTGCTCAGATACCTTCCGCTCAATGCATGCCTGTTGCTAAGGATACGTGTGCACATGCCAGCATTGCCGTTTGCTAAGGATACCTGACGCCCCCGAAGAGCTTTTCCGCATTCCGTATGAGGCTGCTGAGTCTGATGCAATACGATATGCCCTGCTATACCACAACGGCGGGATCTACATGGACACAGACTTTTTGGCAATCGACATGAGCTCCATCGTAGACAAGCGCATGCCTCAATTGTGTCTGGAAAGTTCCGATCAGAGCCAAATTCGGATAGTGCTCTTTGCCGAGGGTTGGTGATCATGACATCATTGGGTACACGGTGGAGGATCAAAGCTTCAAGAAGGGCCAGTTCAGTTCCAATTTCCTCGCTGCCAAGAAGGGCAGTGTTGTCATGGGAGCAATCTGGAAGGCTCAGAAGGAACGCATGCAGCGACATTGCCAGCAGGACAATCTTTTTCACATCAGTTGCTTTTTACTAGCTCATGAACTTGCTGCAAAATGAAGTCTCTTTTCAGGACATTATTCCAAAGTCTGGCATGTGCTGCGACTTGACGTGGATTCGGGGCTCCACTCGCACTTCACGTATCCAAGCTCGAGCCAGTTGCCTGAGGTTATGATGACCCAGCTCGACCATGCTCTGTTCGATGGGCAGGTCTTGGCGAAGGTATTTCGCATCCAGCGGTCCTTGAGCTGCTAAAGCCTCTTGTGGACAAAGAGCCTTTCAGTGTTTCTGTCTTTTTCAGTGCAGGCGAAGCGGTCAAGCCATTGCAGTGTTGAGGGTTGCATATGTTGCATATTCCCTCACGCTTTTTGGAGGCCATCACAGCTCAGGAGCAATACATCATTCAAAAGCCACATGTTTGAAGGACCTGACAGCTTTGTTCCAGACGGATTCTTGGCGAATGATTTTAGATGGCAGAGTTTCGTTCGATCGTGACTGTGCTTGGCATCCCAAGGGCTGGTGGAAGTGCTGAAAAAGACCATGACCGTGGGCGACGCAACAGCGTACTGGAAGAGGCGAAACGTCACGAACCCATTCTCTCGAAGATTATACCATCTTTTCAATTCACAGGCGCTCACGGGGATGTGGGGCTGTTCCATTCGGGCGGGAGTTGCTTGTGTAGATGAGCAAAGCAGAAATGGGCGTTCCATGGCGTTCCTCATTGTTGCTAAATCCCGTCTTCTTGCGACACACAGGAGTTTACGCTCCTGACTTTGCGACGTATGGTTAGTTGCTTTCCTCATGTTGCCCTGGTCGACCTGCTTGCTGGACACGCCGTTTGTCCTGCAATGTGGATCTGGGCGCTAACCAGCACTCTACCACCACCCCAACCCAACAGTGCCTGCCACATTGAGAACTTGACTGTTGTGTTTGTTCGTCTTGATTTGCATACCTGCATAGCAGTACGCGCCAGGGCAAATTATGTGGGGTTCGCATTGATTCGTGCACATCCTCAACGAGGAAAGCACATTGTTGAAGTGTCAGCCATAACATTGCAATGCGATGTTGGATGTTGTGAAACATCAAGACACTATGTCTACAGTCTACTCGACCAGCACACACCTAGAGAAGATGAAGATGCAACAGGGGCCCAATTCCTCGGATAAGACGTTAGGTGCTTGTATGCCAATGTCATCATTGATGCTGCCTTAATGCCAGTTGCTCCTCATAGGTTGCCAACCTTCACTAGTGGAAACAAAAACACAAAGCCCTTTGAGACCTTTCGCGGCCCAACCCAGGACAATGTGTGATTTGCACATGTTGCCACGAATACTACTTGTTTGTCCGCAGGGTGCGATTCTGAATCTGAGCCTTGAGCAAGAAGGCTCCCAAACCTCTCAGGCACAGCAACTGACAACGGAAAGCAAGAGCGGGGCAAGCTTGACGAGTCCTCGCTTTGCAAGGGATTTGCCGATGCATATTCTTGCTACGATTTGACGGACGACAACAGTACCGCCTCTAAGCAGCAATGCAACGTTTGCTTGACTCCGAGAGTGCAATGGGAAGATATTGCAAGGTTGCTGGTGCTTTGTACAAGCAGAGCAAGGCCTTTGCACCTCTCAACGCACCATTTCTGCCATTGCGGACGTTGCAGGTCAAGCGATCGATTCTTAGCCACACGGGTCCATCGCGGAAATGTGCCTATCTTGGGTGCACAAGCGCGCCAGAGTAATGTCTTATCTTGTGGTGGGGGTATTTTGGGCACTTTCGCCAATCACAGCGCATGTGCTCAGGCGCAAACGACGGCGGACTGTGCCAATGCAATGGAGTTGTTTTCTACGGCTCGGGGCTTTGTGTAAGTTCAGGTGACCTTGCACAGCTGTTGTGCATAGGTCGCAGATTCACTTGCGGTGGCACAGCGGAGATGGACCTGGCCACTGGACTTTCCTACTCCTTTCCTTCTGAGCGAAAGTTTCTCCGGCGATCTTTTGTGAACGGTTGACAAGTCGTTTCTTGTCGTTTCTTGTCGTTTTTTGTCGTATCCTCTGTGGAATTCCACCCTTGGTGCCTTTGCCTTTGTCGGTTCTGTTCTTTTCCCAGTCCGACAGTCACACCGACTGACTCATACGACTCATACGACTCATATGACTCCTACGATCCCGGAATCTCCCAAATCCGAGTCTTAATCTTGAGTGAGTCTTGAGTCGAGGACTCCATGCTGCGCACTCAGCACGCGGCGAAGGAAGTTGAATCGAGCATCAGGTGTGGTGAAAAGGCTGGGCCGATGGAAAGCTTCCGCTCTCTCGCCGATGAATCGTACGCGCGAGGAATTTGGAGGTGACCCGCTCTACGGCGTGGCCAAGCATTGCGGCTTGGCGTGGCCAATCACGTCCCAAGCTTCGCCTCTGAATTGTTTGACTTTTTTGCATGGATGCCTTTCCTCCTTTCCTCGGGGCAGGAGGCGACCTACACTCGTGCGTGTCACGTTCCTTTGTGTTCGTAAAGCATTCGCAAGCGTGCGCGAGTATCGCGCTCTGAATTGGCAAGTGCTTTCATGTCGCCGGAAACCCTGACAAAAGTAATCAACGGATTAAACGGGGGTGTCCAATAGACCCGCAGCCAAACGGCCGCGAACGCCCCGCGAAAGCCTGCATGTTCATGAGCGCGAGTTTTACGTCTTGGGGTGCACAGCCGTGGAACTCACTCAGAATGCCAAGGGCCATCGTCAAAAGGAACCTGCAGCTTTTGAGCTTATGCAGTCCAAAGGGTTTCGAAAAGTCCGCTGCGAAAGCGCCGCGAATGCATTGCAAAAGAAAACGAAGCCCGCGAAAGCAAAACATGGGGTCGCGAAAGCATCGCGAAATGGTTCGCGAAAGCAAACTTATAGTACCACGTTTCACACAAGAGTATTCGACGGCACGGCTCATGTGTCTTTTTGCTGCGCAGCTTGTTCTGTGTTGTTTGTGTGCCGATTTGAATGTCTGGGGTGTGTGTCTGGGTGTGTTGCCTGGCAGACACGAGGGCTTGAAAAAAGGCGTGCAAATCGGGGTATCTGACATATGGGTCAAGCAAAAGTGGATGGAGAGGCCCCGAAGCCTATCTTTGCTTGTTAGCGTTTTCTTGCCGATACGATGGGTTTGCGCATGCCCCTTTCCTTTTTTGTTTGTTACGCGGGCTACTTGCTTTCATTCGCGCTATCTCTCTCTCGCTCTCTTGCTTTCTCTCTTCCCTTGCCCCTCTAGCATTGCGAATCATCACAGGAAGTTTAGAAGGAGCTTCAGTCGCTAAGCCGCGCTGGGGGCGAAAGAAAGTGCACTGGCCCAAGCAAGCAAGCAAGCAAGCAAGCAAGCAAGCAAGCAAGCAAGCAAGCAAGCAAGCAAGCAAGCAAGCAAGCAAGCAAGCAAGCAAGCAAGCAAGCAAGCAAGCAAGCAAGCAAGCAAGCAAGCAAGCAATCGCACGCGCAATTGGATCCACACCCACCCTAAACTAGGCCCCTCCTGACCCATAACAAACGCAGGGCAAACACTAGCGAAGCAAGGGGCGGCCGCATCCCCGAAAAGTGGTACATTAAATTCTTCACCCCCTAGATCTTGTTTGGTTGTCACTGATGCGCGCAGCGAAGGGAGGATTTTTTTTGTTTGTGGGGTTTCGATGAACACGCGCTTGTAAATGCGACTGAGGTATTTGCTCCAACCCGGCAAAGGTCAAATGAATCTCTCGATATGTGGTTTTGCAGAAAAAGTGCACCGTGGCGTAGGTTGTATGAAGCATGGCGGGTTCCATAGCTAGAAATCAGGATCGAGAAGCGGGTGCTTTCTCAAACTGGTCATCTCAGTTGCGTGGAACGCAAAGCCGTTGAGCTTGAAGACTTGCAAAGCGCCAATCGCTGTTTCAGTTAGCCCTCAATGACTCAACGCTCACAAGCATTTCTCCTGGTGCTGCAAATCCTAGCGTAGCATGGCCTCATGGCCTCACCGTGCTGGTGACAAATGCCACGAATGCCAAGAGCTCTCCGTGGCAGGCCGACAAGGCCGACACCTAAGGCAAAATGTTCAACAGCCGCGGGCCGCTTTGGCCGCTTTGCGCAGCTGGATTCCGGCTTGGGCTGTCGAAGCAGCCAGCTGCAGTTGCTCTTGTACAGATTCGCTAGAGCCGCTAGAGACAGGGATGTGAAGCCCGCAGATTTGGTGGCCCTTGGGACGAGACGCTTCAGACCACGGCAGTTCTTCCGAGCCCTTGACACCTTGCTGGAAGTTCAAGCCCCCTTGTCCTCCCTCACTTCAATGGTGAGGCAAAAGCGCTACACAGAGGTGCTCTTGCAGCATCCGCTCTTCCTGATCACTGCTTTGGGGCGCATTCGCACGGACATCCGGAAGCCAGAAGGCCGGGTGGAAGCTGTGCAGGCCCCTTCGTAATCTTGCAATGGTGCAGCCCCCTTTCAGGGATTGTTTTGACCGGTTGAACGGAAGCATGCACTTTCGCAAGCGCATGCTGCTCCATGCGTTTCCATGGTTCTCCAAGCTTTTTTTTTGACCTATAGGCGAATATTCGGGAGCTTCCTTCTTGGGCAGTGTTGCCCAGTTCCTGCAGCAGATCGCGTGCTTGTTGGCGGAACGCACAAGCAGCTTCGGCAATGCTGTGTCTCGTCCTCTTATATGTGGTTTGTTTGCATCGTTTCATGCGTTTGCTTCTCAGCTCAGGCCTTGCCCTTGTTTGTTGCGCTGGCTAGCAGCGGTGGCAGAACGTCGTTTCGGAGGCTGGGCGATGAACAGCTGGAGAAGCTCATCCAGAGCGTGACTGGCACGGACTTGGAGACGGTGAGGCTGTCTGCGAACGAAGCGGCTGACATGTTCTGTGCCCTGCACCGGGTGAGTTATCGAAACCCTGCTTTGATGTTTAAGCTTACCCGCCACATCTGCGACCACGTCGAGCTCCTTGCGGCGGCGCAGCTGCCCAAAGTGGCCCGTGTTCTGGGCAGGGGCGATGTCCATGAAGAGTACGTGCTGCTGCACGCGATCGCCCGCCGCGTGGGCGCTGCGGCTGAAGTTCCTGAAGGGAGTGCGGGGCATCTGGAAAACGCCCAGGCGGCAGCGCTGCTGGTGAACGTCTGCAGCAAGTGGGAAATCTTCGACGAGGAATTTCTGACGGTGGCGGCAGCTGCTCTCCGAGCGGGGACGGCGCAGCTCGCAGTTGGCCAGATCTGCGAGGTGATTTATTCCGTCAGCGCCTTTCTGACGAGGGACGCAATGCCATTGGAGGATTTCTGTAGCGAGCTGAAGCAGAGGATCCATGAAATGAATGAAATCGACACTGTGCGCCTGTTGCGCGGACTGCAGAAGCTGCGGTACCATGATGAGGCATTGATGGAGGCCGTGGCAACCATCATTCTGGAGGCCAAAGCTCGCCTTCAGCCTATCAGCCTGTGTAATTTGGTGTCGGTTCTGGCCTACTTTGGAACTTCGGATGAGTTGGTCATGGCTCTGCTGAAGACTGCGATCGCGAACAAGTTGCCGGCCATGTCCGTCCAGCACATCCTCACCGCGCTGTGCCGTTTGCAGGGACGGGTCTCGGGTGAAAGGCTGGAGGTCCAGGTGCGCAAGCTGTGCGCGCACATCTCGAGCTGCAGCTTCACCCCGGTCCAGGCCATGAGCTCCTTGGCAGCGATGGCGAAGCTCCAGCACCGCGACCTGGCCGTGGCCTCGGTGCTCGCTTCCATTTTGTCCGGGGGGCAAAGCTACTGGCGCTGGGCAAAGTCCCCGCATTTCTTCCGGAGTGTCGCTGTCAAAGTGCCCTTCAAGCAGCAGAGGTGCCGCCGCCTGCTCGAGGCGTCGGGTGTTTGTTTGAACTGCGAATGTGTTCAAACTACCTCAACGCAGGCGCAACAGCCTGATTCTGACCAGCAACTAGAAACCCTGAGGGTATGGAAAGCTCTCACTGTGTAGACATCCTGCAGAGCCTTTCCTCTCTGGAGTTGAGCAGCAGGCTGACTGTTCACTTAACATCTATTCTGCGCCTCTCCTTCAAAGCATTTAGCAGGTACTGACATGGTGTTGTGATTTGTTGCGGTTTTCTCAAGTTCTTGGTCCAAGTTTGGGTGGCGTGCGTCTCAGGTGCAGCATTCTGGCGCCGCAGCTACACGAATTAAGAGCAAAGGAAGTCTTGGTGGTAGCGCGAGCATTCAGTGCGGAGCGCATGCCTGATGCTTGTTTTCACAGGGATGCCTGGCTGTGGCGAGAACGAGCGCTGGATCTGTGCTTGCAAAGCTTGCGGCGGCATGAGAGCTTTCTTGACAGCTCCTGGGCCAGCTTGCTTCCGCTTAAGCTCCTCGGCCCATTTCGCACTCGTTCTTGGGTATGGGGCATGGAGGTAGAAAACTTAGGCGCGTGGCGCTGGATTGTGAAAGTTCATATTGAACCTGAACGCCTCCGGCTCAGACTGCCAACGTGCCGGGCCGTTTTCTTGGAAGTGGTATGGTCAAAACATCCCTTTTGCCGTAGATCCCTAGGCCACGTGCCGATTCACGGTCAAATTCTGAAGGCAACCCGTTGGTTATTCTTTGGCCCCAAAACGTGTTGCCGCTGTCTTGCACTCATGCATTGGCTCAAGACTCAAGATACGTCATACATAGTCTCACGTGAGTGGGATAGCGTAAAAAGATCATTGCTGCCGTGCCGTTTGATTCGCTGTACACTGAAGGCCCAACTGAGCAAAAGCGCACGTGCGTCCTGTTCATCCCTTGCAGGCGCAATACAACGGTATTCGTCCTCCCGAGAGGTTGTCAGCCGTAGGCCGGTCTGCGATATCAAGGACAAGTCGTGAATTGCTTGTCAACTACATATCCAAGCAAATTGCGCAATGGAGATGCCAGACAACACGAGCACTGCTACATTTGGTCGCGGAAGTTCGCAAGCACTCCTGATGGGAGCACGAGTGCAGGCTAACTGCATCATGGAACCATGAGGATCATGAACAGATTTGGTAAGAATACACCATCGAGATCGCCATGCGCTGCAAGCGCGGGAAAGACGAGTGCGGTCGACGTGAGAACCGTCGCCTAAAGCGGGAGATGGAGTGGGTTGCTAAGACCGCCTTACACAGACGCTTGAGGAGTTTATCAAGGGCTATGGCAGCTCGATAAGATCTGGGAAGGTTGAGAGAAGCTGCAATTTTGCTATGGCAAAACCAGGAGTCCTCTGGTGTGTGTTCAAGTGGCTGGACTGACACCCTACAGAGAACAGATCCGCGACGGGGATACTGCGGCCGCCTTGCGGAGACGGCTTGGAGGAAGTCGATGCACAGAGCCCATCATCTTCAGATGCGACCGAACCATCAGACACGCTTGCAAGAAGAGCAAACGAAACGTTGACACACGCTCATCAAGAGGCCAAAGTTTTAAAGCAAGGGCAGCAGTTGGCGAGCGCAATGAGGTTGCCAGGGACGGAGAGGCAAGTGCGCGTTCCGACCCGTGTACGGGCAGAAGGTCAAGCAAAATTGCCCCAACGAGCTGTAGAGAAAGGGCAGATCAGATCGAGACGCGGTTGATGAGTTCTGTCATCACAGAGCAAGGGGTCACAAGATGATGGCGCGGGAACAAGATCTAGAGGCGACAGTTGGAAAGTTGGCGCTGACCAGCCCACCTGCAGCTTCGATCAGAAGCATGGGCCCCGGTTGCTTTCTCCACTCAAGGATCCTGTGACTGAAGCACACCTGCGTATGGCGTGCGGAGCATGGAGGTGGGGTGGAACCCCCGCACGGGTGTGTGTGTGGTGGAAGGTTCCCAGACGATCCTCCCGATGATGGAGATCACGACGATGACAGTGAAGAGGAACAAGGAAGAAGAACAAGACGATGATCTTGTAGATCATCATCGCGCAAGAACGCAAAGAACAAGGACGAAGGAAGGAAGCAGAGCAGGTCGCTGCGCCCCAATGCCCTTGTGTGTTGGCTCGAGAAAATTGCGAACGGCTATGGCGATGTGCAGCGCGTCTGCTGATCCAGAAATCAACGAATGGCGCGCGTGCGTGACTTTCCGACTCAGAATCCAGCTACCCATAGCACTCCAAGCGACGCTAAGAGATTCGTTACGCAGATGTGGATCCGATTTGGTACCATTACCGAAAACCTTGCAGGACAACAGCGCTCTGGCTCAACGTGGTATGACATCCTTCATAACATTCGTTCCGGTGATAGGCCAAAGCAAATCACGCTACGCGACATCTCGCAAAGTCAAGGGGAGCAAGAAGATGGAATCGTGTCTGCGCCCAAGACGTCCTGATTTGCGCCCCCAAAAGACCTACAGGTTCTTGCTGGGCCTCGGTGATCATCAACTGAGGGCTGATCGAGAAGAGTGCATCTCCGACACAAGGGAGAAGCCCGTCAAGAAAATGCCACCTGCGCAGCACCAAATGAATCCTACAAGGCGGAGGGGTGCGCTCTGTGCTCTCAAAGCCAACGCGAAAGATCACAAGAAGGCTTCCTTGTTGGTTTGGGGCGTGAAGGCCTAAAGCCCTGCCAACTAGGCCCAACAGCGCCTGTCGCCCCTAAACTGAAGCAGTTCCAAGCCAACCCATTGTTCTGAGACGGGGCTAGTAAAAAGCCAGGGCTAGTAAAAATCCGGGGCTACAGCCGGAAAGATTTAGGGTTGAAACTTTGTACACCGTTTGTCCTTATGTTCCTCATCATGTCTGATGTTTCCTGGTATGAAATTTTCTCCTGTAAGATATGGTGGCAGCGCGCTTGGCGATTGGGAGGCCGGCTCTGTGGAGACACGAAGAGCTGAGCTCGCCCTTGCTCTCAGCTGCAACTTTTGACGCGGCCATGTGTGTGAAGAGGAAAAGAGTTTCTGTAAGCCCACGAATCTTTGCTGGAACTTCCCGACGCTGATAATTACACTTCTGAATGCTGCACAAACCGTTGGTTCTTGTTAAGCACTTGATGGACGTTGGGAGTGCGCGCGCAGGTGCCCTTGGCGTCGTCTGAATTAGAAGGCAAGCCATTCCGACCTTCGATGACTTGACCGCTTGGAGTTTTCCACATCCGTCCAAGTCTCAGTCACGGATCCGTGGAAAAGGGATTGTGCGATGCGGTCACCAGAGATGGTGGCAAATACGTGAACAGCTTCAGCAAACTCCAACAGGTCCGGACTATCACCACAGCATTCGGCTTGGGAACAAACTGGTGATCAGACAAATTCGAAAACAACGATTCGCAAATACCAACTTCATCGTCTATAGTGAGAGAAACAATAGTTTCACAAAGCACAACCCTGTCCTGCGTTTTCAGCAAGCGTCAAGCAAAGAAGATGCAACGTTTTAGCCACAACTAGGTGTTTCTTTTCCTTCCCATCATGTGGCGATTTCGATGTCACACGCGTTGACTTGTCTATACGTTGTCATTTGCCAGACGACGCAGTTTGATCGTGTACAGAGTGACCTCGAACAATTCTGAAGGCTACGGCGCAAGGCTACGGCATACAATTTCATGCCAGAGGTCAACCAAAATTTGGCAAAATCCTCCCACTTGGGCATGGGGGTCGTCTTCACGTGCGTGGACACGCAGGCGTCTTTCACACGCTCTGCCGCGTCTGAGTAGACGGCCACACCGTCGTGCTCCAAGGATACCGGTCTCGCTCCAGCGGCCGCCTGCATGTGGTCGAGCAAACCCTTCTCCGCGTCCTGGTAGACGGAGAAGCACTTGGAGGCCTGCTTCTTGCACCTAGACCTCTGTACAATTTTTCTGGCGCCGCAGCTTCATACCAAGTAATCGCAAACATGACACGATTCGTGAGCCGAGGACTGAGCCTCCTGGTCGACACTAGGTGGTGCAATCTTCGCGCGCGGTTCGGCGATTCAAATTGTGATGGAAGTAGGTGCTGATCTCATCAGTGCGCAGCTTTCAAGAGATCCATCCTTGAAGCATCACTGATCCAAGAGCGCGCTCGAGACAGATGCCGTTTATCGGTGTTCTTGGTTGGATCGTAGCCCATGTATTCCATTGGGCCAAGACCCTACAGATGAAAAACAGAAATGAACTCTCAGCTCCAGAAGCAGAAGAGGCGCTGAAAGTTCAGATTACAAGGCAAGTGCTGGAGACAGATAAGAATAGCTCACCAAAGGTGCACTCCTTCTGGGGAAAACCCGACCCGGACTGCTGTTGGTGTAGGTTCCACATCCGAGAGCCCGAACATCTCCGAATAACAGATCCAGTGCAAACGTCGTCGAGTGAGAGAGTACACATCCACCTGATCATACGATCGTCCGCCGTCGTAGTAGCGTGTTATATAAAGATGGAAGAGGTTCGTTCCATGCAGTGTCATTTTCCGATGTGTTTCTTGTAACTCCGGACCCGCCGGAACTTCTCGCCATGATCTTTAGGACTAGTCTATCGAGTTTCAATTCATGCGTATCGCGGCATCGGTTCTGACTGCAACCTGTCGTAGCCACTTGTGCTACCACTACAGAACGGTGGTGGCAGTTTGCACGCGTCTTTGGACGTCGTTGTTTTGCTCTTGTGCGCTGCTCCTTGTTCCTCGTCTAGTTGTTCCGCTGCCTAATCCTGTAGTGGGCTGGGCCAATGCTGATTCTCCTGACAAGTTGCAATAGCCCGGCTCTCAGCTCCACTGCCACGTCCTCTTTCTCCCTCTTTCTATCTTTTTTTACCCATTGTCTATGGCGAGATGGATATGTTTATCTTTCAACTCACTATCTTTCTGTCTGTCTATTTTTCTGTTTCCTTGTAAGGGCTGCGCTTGCCAGGAATGCTGTGCCTGACCTGGCGCACCTACTACACCTGACCTTGCGATTGCCACGAAATCTGCACTTGGCCCTACGAAAGCGGCCGCGCCAGCGTTGTCAAAATGCAGCGCGTGTCAAGCGGCTGAGTCTGCAAAAGTGCTGCGAAACCTGCGCCCCAGGCTGCCGTGTCTCGTGCTTGCCGGCCCCCAAAAATTAGCGCAGCGCCTGCCACGGAATCCGTGCCTCAGCAGCGCCTGTCGCTCAAGAAGGGAAACTGAGAGCGCGTGCCAACGGGCCCGGGCTCCCCCACGCTCTGAGACTGTCCCACCGCACACCCCCTTTTAGTCTTGTGCGCAAGACAACTTCAAAAAGTGTCCGAAACATAGAAGATCCTTCGAAACACGCGGGGGCGCCGTCTGTGTTCGTCCCCCTAGTAACAGTTAAGGAGGAACTTGTGCCCATCATGCCGTTTGCAGTTGGCGGGTACTTTGCGCCTAGCGCAACCACGTTCCATTTGCGCTGGCCAGCAATATTTGCCCAGACAGGTTAACGGCCAAGCGCTTTCAAGTTTTTGAGCTTTGCGGCGCCTCCGCTTGAGGCTGCTGTGCTTGCAAGTCAACACTGGCACCTTTGGAACGCGCCCGCTGAATCAGTTTCTCAGTCCCACGCTCTTCAGCGCTGGAGCTGCGTTTAGATTAGAGGTTCTGACAACTCGCTTGAAGAAACTGCCTGTGGCGCGTTCGGGTTGAACTATATTTGTGAGGCTTTGTGGAGCGGTTGCGATGCCTTACGGAGGAGTGGGGTTGGGGCGGGGTGTGTGCTGATTTGGGGCTGGCCGCAGGACGAATGCGAAGCAAATCGACTGCGCCGCGAAGGCGAGGATGACGAGGAGAACGAGGCTCCGGCGACCTTGGAGGCACGGCGGCAGTGAGAAAGGCAAGCCGACATTAACGCATGGCCTTCAAGCGCGCAGTGCCCATGCGTGAGAGCGTTAGCCAACGAGCGACAAAACCGTGGGGCGAGCGTGCGGTCGTCCCTGCGCAATTTGCAGGGACGACAACAGAAGAATCAGGGCGCAACAACTTAGATCCCGCGCTGATGTCTGATTGCCGACACCTTGCCATAGCAAACGGTGGCTCCTTCCCGTTTGTGCAAAGCAGCTGGGGCCCTCTCCGGCGCACAGCGCTGCGGACGCAGCGGAAGTCAAAGCACGCGCACGCAACGGGCAACTCGCGTCGCAACACGCACACACACACATGCGCGCAACACACCCGCAACACACGCACGCAAGCGCGCGCGTGCGCGCACGCACAGAAGCGCAGTGGTGGTTTTCCAGATGGTATATGTCAAAGGTCAGAGGTCCCAAGGGTCACACTAGGGAGCCATCAAACGGTTAAAGGGCACAAGATGATGAATCGCACCATCTGGTTGCAGGCTGCAATCATAATGCAGGCCGCGTCATAGTGATATAGGCCGCGTCATAATGATGCAGGCCGCATCATGATAACGCGGGCCGCGTCTAATGACGCAGGCGCCATCATGATGCTGCCAGCCGCGTGATCTTGATATTGGCGGCATTATGCTCAGACAGGCCGCGTCATGACAATGCAGCCGCAGCCACACTAACACAGCTCGCCGCGTCATGCTGCCATTATGAGGCAGGTGGCATCATCATGATGCAGGCAATACTTAAATGGTCTAGCAGGCTGGGTCATGGTGATGCAAGCAGCATTAGGATGATCGGAAGCTGCCGCAGGGGTCATCACGATGACGCAGACCGTATCATCAAGATGCAAAAAAACAAAAAAAACGATGAGTGCGCAGGCAGCGTCACGAGAACGCAGGCAACATGAAGATGATAGAGCAGGCCTTGTTAACACGCAGTCCATCCGCGCAGACAGCGCGCAACAACAGTTGCGCGTCGCGAAACCGCGCGCCTGGCCAGGCTATTGCGCAACAAGGTAGTTTGAATCAGGCGAGCCAACTACGCAGGCCACAATGAGCCATCACGCGTGCCACCAAGCGCGGGCCAGCCGCAACAGCAACATCGCTTCGCGCGCGCAACACAAAATGCAGCTTACAAGACAACGTAGAACTTGCAAGACCCGTTTGTTTCAGGCAAAACCCAAAGCCACCAGAGCGCGCAGCACGATCCAAGGCTCGTTACTGAGGCAACAAGCAGGCTTGGTTCATTCTTGTGAGGCACGAATGACTCTGCGTGCATTTCTCGGCCAATGTCTTTTTGGCTGCAGGAAGTGTTTCTTCCAGCCGCGCAGCAAACATGCGCTTCTTCCACACTCATCTGCCTCTACGTTGTGCCCAGCAAGGTGCTGCCCAATTCACAACGTCTTGCGCGCAAGCGCAACAAACTGGAAGATGGGTGGCCCCGCAGCCTGAATCGGTCCATTTGTCCAACTATGAACTTCACTGTCTACGCTGCGCATGCACTTCACTCCGTACTTGCCCTGCGCATGCCTCTGTCCATTTCACTGTTTCTCTGTGCACGCCTCTACGCAGTTCACCGTCTGCTTTCCCTGCGCATGCACTTCATTCACTCTGTACTTGCCCTACACATGCCTCTATACGCATTTCACTGTCTACTTTACCTGCGCATGCATCTACACAATTCACTCTGTACTTGCCCTAATGGTTCTGTGCGTTTCACTGTCTACTTTCCCTGCGCATGCCTCTTTGCATTTCACTGTCAACTCTGTGCATGCCTCTGCGCAGTTCACTGTCTACTTTCCATGTGCGTGCAGCCATGGGCTTCACTCTGTACTTGCCCTACGCATGCCTCTGTGCATTTCACTGTCTACTTTCTTTGCGCATGCCTCTGTGCGTTTCACTGTCTACTTTCCTGTATGCCTGTATGCATTTCACTGTGCGCTCTCCCTTTGCATGCCTTTATACATTTCACTCTGTACTTGCCCTGCGCGTGCCTCTATGCGTTTTACTGCGCTGTTTATCTACGCATGCTTCTCTGCATTTCACTGTCTTCTTTCCGAGACTGCAGCCGGAGCTGCGGGGACGTACTTCGCGTACTACTTTTTGTACTTAGAAGCTGCGACTTTGCAGCTCGATCCCTGCGGACGATCGAGCGCAGACCACGAAGACATGCGAAGATTCACACGGCGCCATAGCGAGAGCGATCCGACACGCACGAGCCCCGCAGAGGGTCGTGCGCTCACGGCAAGAATCGCAACAAAAATCAGCTTTTGCGACCGCGACGATCCCCGCAGAGGCGCGGGCATGTTGAAAATCAAAAAGCCATCAGTTTGTGCACAGAGTGCGCTCGGTCCCACCGCCCGCCGGCCTTAAGATACTTTTCCCGAAAGCATGGCGAAGGGTTCTTCCGCTGGGTTCACTTGAGTTGTTCTCATGAGAGTCATTTCAAGGTGTCATTGCAAGGAATCATCATCATGAAAGTCATTGCAAGGAGTCATTGCAAGGAGTCATTGCAAGGAGTCATTGCAAGGAGTCATTGCAAGGAGTCATTGCAAGGAGTCATTGCAAGGAGTCATTGCAAGGAGTCATTCATGCAAGGAGTCATTGCAAGGAGTCATTGCAAGGAGTCATTGCAAGGAGTCATTGCAAGGAGTCATTGCAAGGAGTCATGCAAGGAGTCATGGCAAGGAGTCATTGCAAGGAGTCATTGCAAGGAGTCATTGCAAGGAGTCATTGCAAGGAGTCATTGCAAGGAGTCATTGCAAGGAGTCATGGCAAGGATTGCAACTTGCACTTGACTCCTTGCACTTGCAACTTGCACTTGACTCCTTGCACTTGCAACTTGCACTTGACTCCATGCACTTGCAACTTGCACTTGACTCCATGCACTTGGCTCCTTGCACTTGGCTCCTTGCACTTGGCCCCTTGCACTTGCAACTTGCACTTAACTCCGTGCACTTGCGACTTGCACTTGACTCCATGCACTTGGCTCCTTGCAATGACTCCTTGCAATGACTCCTTGCAATGACTCCTTGCAATGACTCCTTGCAATGACTCCTTGCAATGACTCCTTGAAACAAGCAAGGAGTCAAGTGCAAGTTGCAAGTGCAAGGAGTCAAGTGCAATTGACTTGCGAGGAGTTAAAATCTCTTCTTAGGGCGGCGGGGTAGTGCCGACGACACTACACGAAAATCGACCCTCTGCGGGGATCGGCGTGGTCGAGGTGCAAAAACCCATGGTTTTTTGCGATTTCTAAAGTTCCCGCGCGACCCTCTGCGGGGATCGGCGTGGTCGAGGTGCAAAAACCCATGGTTTTTTGCGATTTCTAACCTGCTCGCGCGACCCTCTGCGGGGATCGGCGTGGTCGAGGTGCAAAAACCCATGGTTTTTTGCGATTTCTGCGGTGCTCGCGCGACCCTCTGCGGGGATCGGCGTGGTCGAGGTGCAAAAACTCGAGGTTTTTTGCGATTTCTAACCTGCTCGCGCGACCCTCTGCGGGGATCGGCGTGGTCGAGGTGCAAAAACCCATGGTTTTTTGCGATTTTAACCTGCTCGCGCGACCCTCTGCGGGGATCGGCGTGGTCGAGGTGCAAAAACCCATGGTTTTTTTTGCGATTTCTGCGGTGCTCGCGCGACCCTCTGCGGGGATCGGCGTGGTCGAGGTGCAAAAACTCGAGGTTTTTTGCGATTTCTGCGGTGCTCGCGCAACCCTCTGCGGGAATCGGCGTGGTGGAGGTGCAAAAACTCGAGGTTTTTGCGACTTTTGTTGTTCGAACTGGTCTTCGGGAGTTGTCTCGTGGTTCGCGCGCCTGCTCCCGGAACCGGCGGGTCGCGGGTTCGATTCCTCCCTGGTCCGCGGGCGGGCGTCGCAAGATGCAACTTGCATTTTAAAGCAACTTGCGCAGAGCAACTTGCGCAGAGCAAGTTGCACAGAGCAACTTGCGCAGACCAACTTGCACCGACCAGTTTGCGGAGAGCGCCTTGCCTAGAGCAACTTGCGCAGAGCAACTTACGCAGAGCAACTTGCACAGAGCAACTTGCACAGAGCAGCTTGCACAGAGCAACTTGCAGGGAGCGCAATTTGCACAGAGCAACTTGCAGGGAGCCACTTGCAGGGACCAACTTGCCGGAGCAACTTGCGCGGAGCAACTTGCGCAGAGCAACTTGCACAGTGCAACTTGCGTAGAGCAACTTGCGCAGACCAACTTGCACCGACCAGTTTGCGCAGAGCACCTTGCCTGGTGCTGTCTCGCGCTTGCTTCACGAATGCTTCGTGTAGGGAAAAAGAACGCATCCTGCAGCGTTGGGCCGACCTCGCTTGCGATGTTCTGCTTTCGGGCCAACCGTGGTCTAGTTTTAGGAAGGAGCGCAAGTTTCCTCGTCAAGTTCTGCTTGCGCGGGAAGGAATGCAAGATCGCTACGCGTTTCACTGTGTACTTTCCCGACGCATGCCTCTATGCAGTTTACTGTCTACTTCCATTGCGAATGCCTCTATGCATTTCACTGTCAACTCTGTGCATGCCTCTGCGCAGTTCACTGTCTACTTTGCCTGCGCGCGCCTCCACGTGCTTCACTCTGCACTTGCCCATCGCATGCCCCTATGCGTTTCACTGTCTACTTTCCCCATGCGTTTGACTGTCTATTTTCCCTGCGCGTGCGCCCTGTGTGCTTCGCTGTCCCCCACCGCCAACTTTGCGCATTTTTTGCGCTTAACTGTCTACTTTCCGTGTGCATGCAGCCATGGGCTTCACTCTGTACTTGCCCTACGCATGCCTCTGTGCATTTGACTGTCTACTTTCCCTGCGCATGCCTCTTTGCGTTTCACTGTCTACTTTCCCTGTGCATGCCTGTATGCATTTCACTGTGCGCTCTCCCTTTGCATGCCTTTATACATTTCACTCTGTACTTGCCCTGCGCGTGCCTCTATGCGTTTTACTGCGCTGTTTATCTACGCATGCTTCTCTGCATTTC